TATATTGTAATATAGAATTCCTTGTTAGGTGTAGTCATCAATAAACATGGATATTCCTACCAAATATAGCAGTGTATCTTTATTGGAACCCTAGCCAAATCTAACATGGTATCCTAGAAGATCAAGGCAATAGTCAGCATAAATTTCTTCATTGCTATCACTGGAGGAAATGAGATGAAGAGATGTATGTTAAGTTGAAACTTCAGTGTCGGTCTAAGAAGGGTTAATGTTGGAAAATATGCCTCAAGAAAAAAAATTTAATCAATACATCCAAAACATATAGAATCAATAAAACCGGAAATAATTTTGGGGAATAAATTAGCTTTCTTACCTGGTAAGTCTGCGATAAGGAAACATAAACATGTTTGTGTGTAGTTTAATGGATATTTACACTCAAAGATCATTCCTTCGTTTTGTAGTGGTCAACTTAGCTATTGATCCAATGCACTAAACAGAAGCGGAAAAATCAAAAGTGGGCATAAAACGAGAAAGAAAGGGTGATTGGTGGTAGTCGGTTTACCTGACGATGGGTGGATGAAGGAGGTCATTATAGCAGCAACGCATGAGTGGTGGTTGTAGGAAAAAGGAAATGGTGTGTGGGTGTCCGTTGTGCCTGTGTGTACATATACTGAGACACAGATGGAGGAATAGAGAGAGGGCAAATGGTGTAGTGTATGCGTAGATTGTGTATGGTGGGCAAGCTACAACGATTTAGAAGTAGCTATGGCAGCTCATGTTTGCGGGGGTATACCGATGGTGACGAAAAATACACAGGGTGATGGAGTTGTAGCCTTAGGTAGGGTTTTGTGATGGTGAATGTTTGGATGGAGAAGGAGGTTCTGGGTATTCTTTCAGCTTCCGGTCAATTTCTAGGATAAAGAGAGAGGGTGAATCCTTAGGCTTTGAGGGAACATGGGCATATTTTAATTGTTGAAGTGAGGCACAGGGAGCGAACGGGATCGGTGGATAGTTATAAATCACAAGTTCACAACCCTAAAGAAATAAAAAAGGGGAAACATTCAAATTCTAGAAAAAATAAGGAAACAGCGGAGATTCCAATCCGATTTTGTGGGGAAGGTCGGATATATGGGAAGAGATAGAGGCGGGTTAAGCAGCGGAGAATGGTATGAGGAATCGGTCAAAATAATAGCTTCAAACTAATAAGAGATAAAATAGCTATTAGACTTTGACTATTTGACTTTTTTTTTACAAAATAAGATTTTAACGCATAAAAGGTTTGTATATATAGCAATAATGTTTGTACGACTTAAAATTAAGCGTTTGACTAAAGATGATTTATAAGGTATAATATTATATATATATATATATATATATATATATATATATATATATATATATATATAAATATCCCCTAATCTAATAAATAAATACAAATTGTACACGTAGCAATCAAATAGCCCCTCCCCAATCGAATTTTCCCATTCTTTTTCATAATGTGAATTTCCACTATTGCCCTTCATTGTACACGTCCATTCCTTAATTTATGCACGTCAATTTGACAATCTCCTACAACATTTAAAAAAATGGAAAGTAAATAATCATTATTTAATTTAAAACGAGAATGGTATCTTTCAAATATATCATGCTTATCAATTCCTTAAATAGCATAACTTACCTAATCAAATTATTTTAAATACATTATCACGGTTAGTTTCATTCACAGGAACACCAAATTTCAAAGCAAAAGAGAACGTAATATCAAATAGTGGAGTCGCCTTCTGTTATTCTTTTAGGTATACTATTAAAAGTTTTTGTTATAATTATTCAATGTATTCATCTTCATCTTCCTTCCACTGCTCTTGTAATCGATTTGTTTGTATATGTATCTGTTACCACGTGTATATGTACATCTTTCTGTTTGTATGTGATTGTATTTGTGACTGTTAGTGTATGTATATTCTGTGATTGTATTTCTGTTTGTATGCGGTGGAATATATTGTTGTTATTGATTTAAACAGTTTCTGCTATTATTATAACCCAATGAAAGTACTTTGCTATTATTCGTATTTCATGCCATTTTTTTATTTTTTTTATTTTTTCAGTTTTAAACCTCTGTTCAACATTAATGGGACGATTTCTTTAAAAAAATGATTTTATAGTCACTCTTTATGTGAATGGTTTAA